CTGAGTATCACATGTTCTCACTCATAAGTGGACCTTGAACATCTATCGTAATACTATAAGAAAAGGATCGAGAGTGGTGGGAATCTATGAGCGGGGGGGTCAGGGAGGTCAAGGGTGGTGGGATTAATGGTAGTCGATATCTGTCTGGGGACCGGGGGACACCCCTTATCAACAAGGGAGCCTGAACGATGCATATTTATATACCTAACCCTTAACTGTATCCCACAATTTTAAAATAAAAAATATGTTTAAAAAAATAAATAAATAAAAATTAGTCAGGCATGGTGGCACATGCTTGTCATCCCAGCTACTCAGGAGTCTGAAGCCAGAGGATCACCTGAGTTCAGGAGGTCAAGGATGAAGTGAGCCATGATCATGCTACTGAACTTCAGTCTGGGTGACAGAGTGAGACCACCAACTCAAAAGTAAAAAATGTGTTGTTTGCTTGAGGGATATCAAGGAAGCTGGACACTCAGCATGTCATGTCACAGCCAATTTAAAGAAGGAAAAAATTATTGGGGAACAGACAGCTGATGGCTGCTATGCCTTACTGGGAAGAAGAGGGAGGTCTTTTTGTTTTGGGTTTTTTGGGGTTGTTTTGGGGTTTTTTTGAGTAAGAGTCTTACTGTGTTGCCCAGGCCTCAGATGATCCTTCTGCCTCAGCCTCCCAAGTAGCTGGAACTATAGGCGCACCACCACGCCTGGCTAATTTTTTGAGTTGTTGCAGAGATGAGGTCTTGCCAAGTTGCCCAGGGTGGTCTCAAACCCCTGGACTCAGGTAATCCTCTTGCCTCTGCCTCCCAAAGCGCTAGAATTACAGGCGTCAGCCACTGCACCTGACTAAGGGGAGGTCTTAAGGCAGGGGGTGATTCTAGACAGGTCTGAGCTGCCGGGGGCCTGGAGCTTCCCCAGAAGTAATCTGTGTCCCTCCCACCCCTAACCCTCCCACCCTCTGCTTATGCTAGGAGGGAAAAAAAAAGAAACTTGAAGAAGCAATAGGGACCCTCAATAGATAAGACGATATAATAAGCACTGTCGTGGGTTGAAATGGTGGCCAACCAAAAATATGTCCATTTTCTAATCCTTGGAACCTGTGAACATGACCTTATTTGTGACTTTATTTGGAAAAAGTCCATCTTTGCAGATGGATGTTGAGATGAGATCATCCTATATTATGCGGGTGGGTCTTAAATCTCATGACGGGCGTCCTTATAAGAGACACGCAGAGGAGAGACACCAATAGAAGAGAAGGAAGCAATGTGACTTCAGACACAGAGATTGGAGTGATGTGGCCACAAGCCAATGAACACCAGCAGTCACCAGAAGCCGAAAGGGACAAGGAGCAGAATCTCCTCTAGAGACTCCCGAGGTAGTTCAGACTCTGGCTTCCAGACAAGGCCAGTGAGAGAATAATGAATGTTGTTTCAAGCCACCCAGTCGGTGGCAATTTGTTATGCAGCCCTAGGAAATTAGTGTAAGCATGGGCACTAAAGAGTGCAAGATGAAAGGCAGGAGGAGCCTTTCCGCTAAGTGAGTCCCCAGGGCCAGAGTCAGACACATGCTCCAGAAGCTTGTACCACCGAGCACAGTCCAGGTGGGCCCAGTCCCTTAGCTAAGTTTGACGAGGAATACGGCATCCCACGCCCAGTGGTCTACATGACTTTAAATTGATCCCAATCTACCCCAGATCATAATGTTCAAATTCTAGTAATTTGTGGGTAGTTAATACGTATGTTTTTGCTGTTCCCCTCCAAAATATGTTGGGTTTGGGGGTTTAAAAATGTAAAAAGTATAGGTTTCCTGGAAGCTATTTAATTCTGCTCCTCATAATCTACCCCTGTGGGGAGTTTAGCTGTTTAGGCCACGAAGCCTGGAACCATCAATCCCAGAAGTTTCTCAAAGAAGAGGCAGAGGGCCCAAGGAGAGGGGCTGAGAGCTCCTGAGCTTTCAGGGTTACAGTTTCAGATCTAACCCCTTCCCCAAGTCTCCACACACAGTTGCGGCTCCTCCTGCCCTGCCCTGTACATGCCTCATCCCATTCTCTACACAGTGCCGTCCTCCCTGCTGCTGATGCATGCAGTCTGGTGCCCAGTCTCAATGAGGCATCTGCCTCGGTTGCCTGATAAGCCCTCTGGCTCCCTGTGGGAACTAAGAACTGCCCTACCCGGGCCCTGACAACTGCTGACCACTTGCCAACACCTTCTCCTGGGATCTTGACCCTGATTCCTCCTCCCTGTGTCAGACTGGAATCCAGCATCGAATCTATGCTACATCCTGACCTCAAGTGTCACTAGTGTTAAACACTGCCATGCCTTATCTAGCAGCACAAAAATGAATCTAGCCAAAATTCCCTGTGACACTCTATCATCTGGACTGTGGAATATACTGTCCTGTCCTGCCTGAAGCTTGAACCCTTTTCTTTCTCTTTCCCCACTGGCTGCAGATCTCTGTATGCCTTTTAGCTGAGTCTGAAAAGTCATGATATTCTGAGCATGCTGGGCAGATGGGATGGATAGGTGGATGCAGGTCTTTGGCAACAGGGGCTGAAAAGCAGGGAGACGGACAGAATGACCTCTACTGCCTTCCTACCTTCAAAAAAGCCATCTTCATCCATGTTGCCATAAACATAGATGTACTCGCCAGCTGTCAGCGGAAGCTCTGCCTCTGGATTCTCATTGGGGCCCTCGAAGGGGTTGTAGCTGTCAGAGGAGGTGCAGAGGAAGAGGAAGACTGTGACCTACATGCCACTTCCATGTCCCATCTTCTCTCCCCCACTGCTCCATGGAGACCTGATTGTCCACCTCTAGCACAGAAGAACACTCACTACTCCACCGTGATTGACTAGGTTATGAGAATATGTCCCACTAGGATCCCTGTCCCCCACTCTCCTCCAGAGGTCCCTGTCTTCACCTGGTCACCTCCTCCCATATACCCCAAGTGCTGGGGGTGGGGAGTGAGGGTGAAGGGCCCACCTGTAGCGAGCTAGGAAGACCTGGATCCTGGCTCCTCCTCGGCTGCCCTCTGGTGCTGCTGGGAGCAGGGAGACACTGTCGGCCTCCAGCTCCTCCACCTCACTGGCTGTGTCCACCTGGGGGTAAATAGAAAAGGCTGGTTCCTCTTCCCAGGCCCAGGGCCAAAAGCAGAGCAGACAGGTTCCCAGACTGAGCCAGAAAGGATCTATTGCTTTGAGAAAGGCAAGTGAGCACAAACAGGTGGACGAGGCCAGTGGTAATGAGCCCCTGACACCTTCTAAATCAGCACCTGAGCCAGCAGGTCCTGGCAGAGTCCAGCAAACCCAGGCAAGGGGAGTGGAGGTAACCTGGTCCCCTCCCGGAGCCCTTGGTACTGCACCAGCTGACGAATAAGGCTCCTGCCTCATCTGAAAGGGGCTCAGGCCTCACTAACGTGGAGAGTAGGTGTCAATAGCAGTTTGGCAGTTTGGTTACTTAAGGTAAAAACTCAGCAAAGCATCCTAGCTGTAGAGAGCTGGAAGCAAGGAGGCAGAAGAAGCTGGAGAAGTCCCTGCCTCTAGCATGGTGATGGTGCTTCTGCAGATCAGCCCTGGAACTCAGAATTTCCTGTCTACCTGCCTGGCCCACGGCCAGGGTTACCTGATTCTCTGACCCTGGTTCAGATTGGGAAACTGATTAGCCTGGGGAACAGGCTGTCTTGTCTTCTCCGGCAAAGCCTGGGAGAAGGGGACAGAGTGGGCAGCACCTTCACGGCCGCATCCAAAGCCAGCACCATCATCCTGTACCACGAGGGGGCGGCAGAGGTCCAGGGCTGGGTTCTGCCCCTTCCCAGACCCCTGGAGAGCAGAGCTACTCCTGACTGGCTCCCTCCACTTTCTGGGGTTTGTGGGTGGAAAGTGGGATGCGGTGATCAGATGAGCTGTGAGTGTTGCCCGCGAACACAGTAACAATAGCAGCTGCGAAGCATCTCCTGGGTGTCCTGCACTGAGACAGATACTTTCCCAATATTTTTTTCATGTAATCCTCACAATAACCTTAGACCACAGGTTTTATTGGTTTTATTGCAATATTTGGACAAGGAAACTGAAGCCCAAAAAGGGTCAGGAACTTGCCAAAGACAAAGCTGGGATTTGGGCTTCAGATCCTTTGCTCTGTCCCACACAACCATTTGCTTCTGCCACAGATGCTATTATGAGTAGGCTCATTATTTGAATCCTGGTGCCAGAGTGTCTCCTCCATCCAGCCCAGCACTCTAGGACCTCCCTAGGCCCCCAGGGGGTGAGGCTAAGTGGCCCTAAGGTGGGGCTTGCAGGCAGGTCCTGGAGAACAGGGACAGGTTCCACCTGAGCCCCGCCCCGTCATAGGAGGAATCCACAGGCCTTCCACCTTGCATCTCGGGACCACTGGCCACCCAACTCCTGGGAACCCCAGAGGTCAGGACCACCCCCTCCCCCTTCCCCAAGCCAAGCCACTCCCCAGCACTGACCTCAGGTGTAGGACATGACTTGGGACTGTTGTGGATGGACTCAGAGCGAGAGGAGTTGGAGAGAGACTCTGCCTTCCTGGTCGTCCTTCGAGGGACCCCAGTAAGGGTGGCAGGGGCAGGTTCGGAAGACTTTGGAGTACAGCGCCCCGGGGAGCCCGGAGGGAGGTCAAGGTCTAAAGAGAAGATGGCACGTGGGCTTGGGGTCTGTGGCCTGAGGAGGGACCAGGGAGATAGCGTGGAGCTTCTTGGATATGGGAGTCAGGCCCTCCGTAGCCAGATTTCCTTACAAGAAGGGCAACATATGGGGAGAAGCTTACTAAGCAGCGCTATGGGTGATTTACATATATTACTCCACATGATCCTCAGAGCAGCTGGTTGAGATACATTTAATAATTCCTGTCTTACAGCTTAGGAAACTATGGCCCAGAGTTTAAATGTAAGCTCAGAATCAATGCGTGGAGCTGGGACCACCAGATCTGACGTACAGCCAAGTCCCAACTCTTCACAAGCCCATTCTTCCTTCTTTTTTTTTTTTGAGTTGGAGTCTCACTCTGTCACCCAGACTGGAGTACAGTGGCC